TGTGTGACATCATTTATGAACGGCCCTTATTACGTTAGATAATTATGATTTTTCTAAACTAATCGATTTTTTTAGAATTGTTTGTAAATAAAATAAGATTAAACAAATCCTTAATTTTTGTTGGCAAAATATCCAATGATGAATTTCAAGAAATCTTATACTTTTTTATGCAAATTTTATTTAAAAAAAAGGTAGTTTTTTTGGAATACCTATATTAAATAATAAATAAATTTAAATTTTTCTGCTTAAAAATTAACTAAATTTAAAAGTATTAAATTAAAAGACAAATTTTAAAAACACTAACATTTTGCCGATTTTTTTTCTCATATATACATATATATATTTATATATATGTATATATATATATATATATTATTCTTTACAAAAATTAAATTATTTTTAAATATTTCTCAAGCAGCTCCAAAATTGTAATATATATTCCACTTTGCCCCATAAAAGGGGCAAAGTGGAACAAAATGAAATTAAAAAAAACAATGATATTTGGAAAAACCACGATTCCAGAGTTTTCAAATTTTTGTCATTTTCATCAACATAATGACCATTTAATTAACAACACGTAAGTGCCTTATTTTCAAATTCTATGACTACTATTTAAAAAAAATCAAATATTGTTCCGCTTTGCCCCACTCTCCCCTAAATGTAGCTAACTTGAAACAGCAATAACTTTTTTATTTTTAATGCAACGCCCTGTACCTTTTCATTGATATAACCATTTCCTATACCATACCTAAAGTTAATAATAACAAAGATATTGTACAATTCCTATTATGTATTAAATATTTCAAATTTTTAAATATTACTTTTTAAATTAATAAACAATCGCTTCTGTTAAAACCGGAAGAGGAATTTTGTTCAAAATAATTTTAAAAAATTATTAATATTCTTTTAAAACCCCGGGGGTTTAAATTTTAAACCCCCTTTTTAAATTAATAAACAATCGCTTCTGTTAAAACCGGAAGAGGAATTTTGTTCAAAATAATTTAAAAAAATTATTAATATTCTTTTAAAACCCCGGGGGTTTAAATTTTAAACCCCCAAACCCCCCGTGCGCACGGGTGTGTCTATTTCAAAACTAAAACAAAATTTGGTTGCCGATTAGTATGTAGCATTTTTTTAAATTAAATCACCAAAAACAAAATATTAAGCAACACATTTGAATAGTTTGAACATTTAAATATAAATAAATAAGAAAGTTTAGCATTAAAACAATTGAAAAATATAAACATCAAAAAACATTAAGCAAATACCGTTAAGTGAACGCCTATTGCAAGATTTTTGAAAATAACAATGTCATTTTAAGATAAACAAAACAAATCAAATTATATTGTTTTTTTGTAGTTTTATCTTTATTTTCACTTAAAAATTAATAAATATATTTTCACGCACCTGTAATGATTTATTTACATAAAGAATATAAAATTAATTGTTTAATGCGTTTAAAGAATTAATTATTAAAAAAGGCTTGTAAGAATGTCCTTCGGCAAAAAATGTTTTTCACAAATACATTTAAATTTTAGATCATTATAATCTAAATCCAATAAAAGTGGATTTCCGGAATTTTTCTTCCAAATTTCACACCGTTCGGTGTCTTTTATTGGAAATTGGAACAATACAAAGCTGGTTTTGCCTTTTTTTAAAAAACATTTGTTATATAAACAAGTATTTGTAGGTAAATTATTCATTTTCGCTAACGAATTAAGTACAACAACCTACTTGAGCAATTGCTTTGTGCAAACTGAATTAAATTTAATCTAGTCGACCTTCACGATGCATTCGACCGGCGCGGCGAATTGCATAGAAAGTGGGGATGCTGATGACGACGCGTTTCTTACTGTCTCACTCTAACGGTCTCACTCTAATTTAGAATTTAAATCTCAAGATAAAATCGACGGTGGCGCCTCTAACAACTGGGATCGATTTTGGAGTTATTTTAAATACATTAGACCACGCCTCTTCCCCACTTCTTTACTCAATTTTAAATATTTTGTTTAACAGAACCTATTAAAATTATGAGTGTAATTTTTTTACTTGAAATAGTATATTACACTAAAAAGGAGGTAAGTAGATTTTATTTCCACCTTCTTGCTAAATGACATTTTATAGGTTAATATTGTTTTTTTTTGTAACCAAGTAAACGATAAATTATGTGAACAGACCTGTAATTTTGTACAGGCTTGTATAAAAGACCTGCAAAATTTAACAGACTTTTAGAAAAGCAAAAGGTAGAAATTTGAAAATTGCTATACAGTGTGACCCATTTGTTTGCGACTCACCCCTGTAAAATCTTTATTGTGAGATTTTAACCGGATTTGTTTTAAAGTGTAGATCTTGATAAACTGTATTTTTGGAGTAAAAAAACATATTTTTACAAAATACATGGACTACCTACTATGTCACTTTTTAAGATTAAATTTTTAAGAATTCATATTATAATATCGAGATTTTAATCGGATTTGTTTTAAAGTGTACATCTTGATAAAGTATAGTTTTGGAGCAAAAAAACATATTTTTACAAAATACATGGACTACTATGTCAGTTTTTAAGATTAAATTTTTAAGAATTCATATTATAATAATCGCTATAGCGATTTTTTAAAATAAAATCTATGCACGGCACTGGATTCACCACCCCCCAAAACCAAAATCTAATTGTAGAGAATTTGGGAATTCTCTATTTTTTGTTTAATAATTAATTTTACAAAATACAAGGCCTACTATAGTATATATCAGTTTTTGAGAGTAAATTTTTAAGTATTTTTTAATATCTTTGCAACCCTCAAAACAAGTCTATATTAAATTTTATTGAAATTTTTTATGTAGGAACGATTTTGTAGCCAAATTAAAAATGCACAATAATTAGATACTCACAAAAATTTATTGAAAAAAGCATTGAAATAAAATTAAACTAAAATATTCTTATGCTTAGTTTTAAAAATAAAAAACGCAATATTAACTTAAAACAACAATTACACTGTGCGACAAATTTTGACCTTACAATTTGAACTGGGATGAAATGTGGAAAAATCGAATCTATGCAACCCCCAAAACTAATCTTTAAAGGGGTTTTGCTAGTTTAGCTCGAATAATGGAGATATACAGGGTGTTTCTTTTAACTTGAGACAGCTCAATATCTCGAGAAATACGCATTTCACGAAAAAATGTCTTAAATAAAAGGTTAATGTGACCAAAGGGGACATTATTTGGTGCTACCGCTAGCCACCCCCTACCCCTCCTTAAGGGTGAAACGGGGGGTAACTTTGAAAAGTCAAATGTAATGACCCGATTTTTTTCACAGAGTTTGGTAGTACATAAAAAAATGAATAACTTTTATTTGAAAGTTATTTCAATTTATCAACAGATGGCGCTGTAATTCAAAATTTAAGAAAAAGGGGTTTCCTTCTAAAATGTATTATTTGAAACGTTTGAAAAACAAAAATTAACATTAAATCAACAATAGTCGGCTCTGAAAACAATTTATAACAAATGTTCGAAATGTCGTCCTTCCATTTCGACACCAAGTGGAGCACCAGCGTCCCTGGTCGGTAAACGTTTGGTGCGGTACCTTAAGCGAACGATTAATCGGACCCTTCTTTATTGACGGTGCATTAAATGGCGAAAAGTACCGGAATTTTCTAGAAAACGATCTGACGGACCTTTTTGAGGATGTACCACTAGCACGGCTCCAAAACATGTGGTACCAGCAAGATGGTTGTCCTGCACATTATTCGACAATTGCTCGAGAGGTGTTGGATCGGGAGTTCAATGGCCGGTGCACCGCGGTGGATCGGTAGACGTGGTCCAGTAATTTGGCCTGCTCGATCACCTGATCTTACGCCACCAGACTTCTTCCAGTGGGGTTACTTGAAAGAAAAAGTTTACGCTGCAATTCCTACAACTTGGGAGGACATGGTGGAGCGGATCAGGAACGCCAGTGCGGCGATACCGCCCGACATGTTGGCGCGTTGTGTGCCAGAATTCATTACCCGCATTCAAAAATGTGTTGAAATGGAATGACGACATTTCGAACATTTGTTATAAATTGTTTTCATAGCCGACTATTGTTGTTAATGTTAATTTTTGTTTTTCAAACGTTTCAAATAATACATTTTACAAGGAAACTCATTTTTCTTAAATCTTGAATTAAAGCGCCATCTGTTGATAAATTGAAAAATTTTTAAATAAAAGTTATTTATTTTTTTATGTACTACCAAACTCTGTGAAAAAAATCGGGTCATTCCATTTGACTTTCCAAAGTTACCCCCCGTTTCACCCTTAAGGAGGGGTAGGGGGTGGCTAGCGGTAGCACCAAATAATCTCCCCTTTAGTCACATTAACCTTTTATTTAAGACATTTTTCCGTGAAATGCGTATTTCTCGAAATATTGAGCAGTCTCAAGTTAAAAGAAACACCCTGTATATCTCCATTATTCGAGCTAAACTGGTAAAACCCCTTAAAGGATTTGTTTTGGGGGTTGCCTAGATTCGATTTTTTCAGATTTGATCCCAGTTCATTTTTTGTGTTGCACAGTGTTATAAGCGGTGTATATACACCGTGAAACAAGTCCATTTTTTTTTGGCTGTTCTTAGTTTCAGCTAGACTAATTAGACCAAATAAAAAATTAAACAATTGAATATTAGTAGAATATTGTAAGAGTATACCAAAAAACATATACCAAAATGAATAAGATAAGGAGATTCATTATTCATGTGCATGGGATATACTAAAATAAATCATCCATGAATATATAATATTCTCTGAATATTAGGAATATTCTTAATCTATTAAGTAGATTTAGAGAATATTCTTAGAATATTCCGTGCTGTCTGGGTACCTGCTATAAAACAGTGTAACAATAGCCTAGTTACCATAGTGGGAGCAGATGAACAATGTTTGACGATGAGTGTTAACAAGAAAAATCGTGTTTATCGAAGCTGATCGCAACCTTAGTGTCTTTTTAACTTACGGCTATGTAAACTTACCTCATAAAAATAAAAACTCTAGGTCCTCTCTGAAGGATACTGTGTACTTGTATGATATGAGGATTTTCGATTTTCGTCAAAATTTCCAACTCCCTCGGAAAAAACTTTTCCAAAAAGTCCCTCGGCGCTTTCTCCTTGTCGAAAATCTTGCACGCTAGGCGCATTTTCTTAGGCCCGGTGCTGTCAACATAGTCGGCCAGATGCACGGTGGCATACGAACCCTGTCCGATTTTCTTTCCGATCAGATAGCCGCGCTGCTCTAACGCACTTACTTCGGAATTCCGGGGACTGAGTCGAGTAGCCATATGTGCCGTGTTGTAGTCTTTTGAAAACGCCCCACTTTTTTCTTATTGTTACATAAATTTTTCCTGGACATAATATTGTGAGCCATTCAAATTAAACCATCCCCTTTAGTATACTTAGGATTTTTGGTGCTGATTTAAATGTTCCGACGGCCAGTTGTCAGTCCGTTCACGAAAATTTTAATTTTGAAAAATCGAAATTTCTTATTGACAAGGTTTTTGTCAAAGAAACATCAACAAACTTGATTTTTTTGGTTGCAACAGTTCGCAAGTACAAGATACATTTTTATTGTTGATTGGTTCAACAATAAAAGTTTATTGTTGTGTTTTGACAGTTGTCTGTTATATTTTAAAAATAAATAATTTTGAAACGAAGTAAATAGTGGTCCAGATTATTAATGCTTAATTATTTATTCGGATTAATAATATACTTTTATCTTCAAGCGTTCTATAACTTAAGCAAAGTATTTGATATAATAATTTAGACCAATCAGTGAAGTTTTTTACATCCTAGACTGTAAAAAACCGTTGCGTCATCAATTTTAAATATTTGTTGTTAATCTATGGACATACAACCTGCACATATGCATATGTAATGTCTGCTTGGTTCACAAAATTTAAGATCGTAACATCCCGCTAACGAGAGAATTTTTCGATTTTGTTTAAGAAAAAATTGGTAACAAAAATCGTTTTTTTCAATGGTATGGTTGTATTTAGTAAATTTCTTAAAAAAAAATGGTTTCACATTTATTTTGGACTCCACGTTACGTTTCAATTTTTGTAGCGTCCGAAATAATCAAAAATTGTGAGTAAAAGCTACTGTAATTAAATTTAAAAATACTATTGCAAATATGTTTATTATGCTTGTAATAATTAAGCTTCTAAGCATAATAATTACAGTAGTTTTTACTAATAGTTTATTATTAATAACTTAATGTTTTATTATTTTTCTCTATTTTAATTTTATTAATGTTTAAAACCTGCAATTAATTAAAAAAATATTCTTTATTATGTCACTTTAAGTATTTAAATAAAAACTAAAAACTTAATTAGTTATATTTTTTTCTTTTCCTTTTCTTCATCATCTTTTGTACTTTCTTCTTTATTTTTTACTTGTGAAGTACCATTTTTAGATTCTTCTGGTTTTTCTTCAGAACTTGTTTTTGAATCATTAGAATTATTTGAATTTTCTTCTTTTTGATCCTCTTTCTCACTGGCTTCATCATTTGAAGAACTTAAATCATCCATATCATCATCAACCCTAAATCAGATATATTAACATAAAATTTTGATACAAATGTTAAAATTTCTCACCATAACTTGGGTTTTTTCTTCTTTACAATTTCCTTTCCTTTAGTGGCATTTTCCCTTTTTGAACTACCTGAGGCTTGAAGACCATGTGTAATAGCATCTTCCACACTCTCAGGCAGAGTTGAACGTTCTTTATCATATGTTTCATCTTTAAATTCGTGTTTTGGAAGCTCACATAAACGCTCAAGTTTTTTCTTCTTTCTTTCCTTTGCTTCTTTCTCTCTGTCAGCTTGAGTATTTATCCAATTCTTTAACCTCTTTTCTTCGTTTATGTCCCTTAATCTTCTTCCGCTTAGATCCCTGCATGCCTCTCTGTTTGTAGTTTTTTCTATCTGTGCTCCAATTGCTCGGAGCATTGAACCAAATCCACCCTTTCCTGCCAAAAGTCTTGGGATAATGTGTATGTTATCATTTTCACCTAGTATTCCTTCTTCGTACTTTTTTCCGTTATAAACAAGATAATAATCTTCCGGTTTTATATTCTACAATAAGAAATAATCATAAAAATGCAATTTTAGAGGTTAGATTTTGTCACTTACCAATTCTGAGGTTATTAGGTGGATTACATCGCTTTTCGATTTTAATTCTTGGAACTCCAAAACACTTTTGTTGTTTATAAGGAGCGGCATTTTAAATATTTGTAGTTAATTGCAAAAAAATTGTAAAGAAAGAAAAACGTCTGGTATAAACGTCAAATGCCTGACGCATACAGGTTGCCAACCAAAGAACACCAAAGTTGTTGCCAACCAACCAACCATTTCAGATCGTAAAGCCCGATTTATAGATTGCTTTCCTTCCTTCCTCCCGTAAAAGATAAACAATTTACCAAAAAAGGGATCAAAACATGTTTTTCCAAGTTATCGCATTTTTAAGAAAAAATGTCACTCGTTAAAAGAGAAAAATCGATGTTTCTGTCCATTTTTCAAAAAATTTTCTACGGGTAAACAAAATTGTCTAAAAAAATATTCTCCAATTGGACATAAATCACATCTTTATTTAACATTTTTCATTTGACTTTATTTACAAATATAACAAAATCTGGCGTGGATGGCATAATTGTCTAAAAAAATATTCTCCAATTGGACATAAATCACATCTTTATTTAACATTTTTCATTTGACTTTATTTACAAATATAACAAAATCTGTTATATTAAAAAATAACACGTTTTATTTTGTGTTCCAATTTAAAATTAAGTGCAAAAAAAATTGAGTATACGCACGAAATTCACCGTAAATACGCACGCGAAGATGCGTCCTCCCCTTGAATTCACCGTAAATGCACAAGTGAAGCTCGAAGTGAGTGCGCATGCATGCTAAAATTCGCGCGAAAAAATTGAAATTATGGTGAATGCACATTTTTGTTCAGAAAACTTATTTTACTATACAGGGTGTTTCATAATATATGCGCAGGACTTCAGGATGTGATAACTTATCCAAAAAGATGAAAAAAGTCGCTAATAACTTACGCTCTAAAATGCACAATTTACGAGATACAGGGTGTTGAAATTTTAGAAAAAAATTCGTTTTTTTCGAATATCTCCGGAACCGTTTATCGTACAAAAAACAGCTTTTGTAAGCATTTTCTACTCAAAATAAGCTATGTTTTCCTCGTAATTGGTGGAGATTTTGAAGGGGTAGCGGGTGTTTTTCTCCTCAACTTCTACGCCCCTGAAAAATGTACGGTTTTGAGAGGCCTATTCGAACCGCCAATGTTTTATACACAAAAAAGGTACTCTTGGTCATAAGCTCTAAAATTGACCGTTTTCGAGAAAAATCAACTTTTATGTTTAAAAACAAGGTCAATTAAAAAAAAAAACATTTTTTTTTTACTAATTAAACAAAATTTATTTTAACGTTAGAACAAGTAGCAAAACCAAACCATTATTGCAAAATAAAAAATGATTCAAAAGTTGTCTGCTAAATTCTCCAAACCGTAAAGGTAACGCATTTCGAACATTTCAGCATTTGTGTAAAAAATCATTTTTTATTTTTTTTTTAATTTTGCAATTATTGTTTGGTTTTGTTACTTTTTCTAACGTTAAAATAAATTTTGTTTAATTAGTAATAACAATTTTTTTTTAAAAAATTGACCATGTTTTTAAACATTAAAGTTGATTTTTCTCGAAAACGGTCAACTTTAGAGCTTATGACCAAGAGTACCTTTTTTGTGTAGAAAACATTGGCGGTTCGAATGGGCCTCTCAAAACCGTACTTTTTTCAGGGGCGTTGAAGTTGAGGAGAAAAACACCCGCTACCCCTTCAAAATCTCCACCAATTATTAGTAAAAAAAATTTTTTTCTGGCACAAAACATAGCTTATTATGAGTAGAAAATGCTTACAAAAGCTGTTTTTTGTACGACAAACGGTTCCAGAGATAATCGAAAAAAACGATTTTTTTTCTAAAATTTCAACACCCTGTATCTCGAAAATTGTGCATTTTAGAGGGTAAGTTAATAGCGACTTTTTTCATCTTTTTGGATGAGCTATCACATCCTGAAGTCCTGCGCATATATTATGAAACACCCTGTATAGGGGAAAATATGTTTTCTGAACATGCACCCTTATTTCATTTTTTTCGCGCGAATTTAGAACACGCATGCATTTACGGTGAATTTAAGGGACGGACGCATCTTCACGTGTGCATTCACGGTGAACTCATGAATGTTATATGGAATTCCATAAATACAAAAAGATCAAAGTAGCAGTTGTTGTTAACAGTGTTTATGGTAAATAATGATTATTTGAACTTCTGTTGTTGGCTGCGTCCGAAGGGCCATGACCCAGCGATTCACCGACGATGTTTGTCGCCTCTCGTATTTCCATTTCCAATTTCTCTAGAATTTGGCCGTTTCTCAAATAGTGATTCTAAGGCTCTAATACTGTTTGTGACCTAAGTCGATAATTAATGGATTTCGTTTTTTATGATTACTATTTTAATAGTTTACTAATTTGCTGCCCAGGAAAAATCAGTAGAAAAAACCTGGTGGGAAATTTACATTGTTTGTAGCTTTCTGTGGTCAGTGCGAAGTAGACTATTTCCTCCACTTGTCCCCATGAGAATCCTCCCGCCACACACACCTACTATATAGTACATATAGTACATATGTTATTGTACCATATGGTGCTGTACCATGGTGGCCCATGGCGCGTGGCTGGTTGACTCTCATGGCCACAAATAGAGGATTTTGTCATTCACACTTCACACAGCTTTTTCCAATTTTCATAATTAGTTTGAAATGTTTAATGTCTTATAATGGCAATTTACCTTTTTGGATTTTCCCACACCCCTAAATAATAAAAATGTCGTATCCGTAAAACGGCCAAACACATTTTTAAAACTTAGAGGTGTGGTGTCAGCCAGCTACCGTAACCCACGTTAGGGAGCGGCAGCTGGTTTTATTTCTGTCTCCATTGTCGTTAGACAATCGGTCACTACACCTTTATGGAATCATAAAGGTGTGCTGTCTTAGGATAGAGGTGTGGCGACGGGTATGGGTAGTCGCTACACCTTTATATCGAATATAAAGGTGTACCGCTTGAAAATAAAGGTGCAGCGACCGTCAGTCGCTACACCTTTATATGATAAAAGCTATAGCTATCTCCCAGATAGTTTTTCTATGGTTTACGTTAACGTTAATAATTATTATTGTGGTAGTTTAGGGGTGAATATTTATTATTATTTTTTACATTTTCAAAATATGGAAATAGACCTATCCCATAAAACAGACTTTTGGATAGCGCGTGCCTGAAGAAGAGTGGTAGGTATCTCTTTCTCTTTTAAGTAATTAAAAAAAGACGACGTGCCTTTTCACGCACGCGCTATCCAAAAGTCCGTTTTATGGGATAGGTCTATTTCAAAAAAATGTCTTTTTAGTAAATTTTGTGGATTGTCGCCACACCTTTATTTCGGCTGTCGGGTAAAGTGCTTGTTTTGGCGCTGACCAGGGGCCAGTTTCAAGGAGTGTTTTAGCTACTGGTGTTAGGTAGCGACAGCCGAAAAATTGCGCTTTATTAAGGGCAGGAGTTGTGTTCCTCCCTTTATATGTATATTGACTATATAATTGAAAGGTATATTTATGGGTGTATACCGGGTGTGTAGAATGACCTAATTTCTTCTTTGGAAGAATATTGGTAAATTGCCGTATATGAGTTTATGTTTGTACGAAATCCGGTCTGCATGCCTTATTTGCGTTATGTCGCGGGTTAAATGACTTTTTTGGATCTTGTGCTCGTAGAATTTATTTGCGAGGGTGGCGATGTAGTCACGTATCGGCTGAAGGCCTGTAGTGTCATGTAGCGTTTCTACCGAGGTGTATCGCCCGAGACCCGTGACATGTCTTAATGACTTGTGCATCATTTGGGTGTTTGAAATATTGCACCATACAGGGCAACCATAGGTCATGACCGGCCTTATCGTTGTTTTATAAAGTATTAATTTATTAGTAGTAGATAGTGGGCTAGACCTGCTGAATAACGGGTAGATAGCCTTGATGGCGGTATTGGTTTTGGCTTTAATAGATTTAATGTGCGCTGCATTAATGTTCAGCTATACCATTACGGACGCACACTTCCAACTAAATATTGCAACCAATCCCTATTTATATATATAGTTAGCTCGCGTGCGTAATCAACCGTGAGATGTATCGCTTATGCCGCGGCAGGCCGTTTTCCAGCCGTAAGCGGGCCGGCTAGGGCAAGCCGAAGGATTTTGCAGCGGCATGTCGTATTCTGGCCGACTTCGGTTAGAACATGGCTAAACGGTACCGGGGTAACATAACGTAAGCGGGCCGGCTGGGGCAAGCCGAACCGCCGGTCAACCGCCTATGCCGAGCGAAGGCTAACTGTTTGCCGAGTGTTTCTAGAATGTAATTTTTAATTTATAGGTAAACAGCACAAAATTACATCCTAAAAATATATGGGATATTTGATTTTAACTTTTAAAATCGGTATTTTTCAGGGGGTATAAAATAGGTACCCTCTACAATCTTTAAAAATATAGTAACAGCAAATATTCAAAATAAGAAACTTAAGTTAAGTGAGAAACTGACTTAATTAAGTGAGTTTTAAGTTATTTTTCTGACTAAATCCATACAAACTTCGAAATTAAAAAAAATCCTACCGTCCCTAATAATATGACAACCCACCATAATATACCTTCTATAGCTACAAATTATATAATTATATAATTGTTACATTAAATATTTAATACATATTAGGTATGCAAGGCTTACTGAACAATTATAAATTACCTATTTCTGTTCTGAATAACAGTTGTAAATTACAACTTGTAATTGTATCTTAAAAATGACCGAGCACCTACTTATGAAATTTGTTAAATATTACACAATTCTTATTGGGTTATGGCCACTAAAACTAACAGGAATTAAACAAAAACTCTACAATTTTTATTTCTACATGGGGTAATATGAATATTATTTATTAAATCTAATGGGCGATTGTATTTTAAATTTTATATTTTAAAAATTAGCACCTTAAATGTTTTTAATTTACAGCATATCCACAAAATTTTAGACTTACAAATGTTTATATAATGTAATACATGTATACATTTTTTTCATGCTCGCTCAATAAAATGTTTGCGATAACAAAAAATCCAAGTACCCATTAGTCTCCCGTAGACTGCCTCTAACCTGTTCAAAATTTTGAACGCCAAGTTGCTAATTTGGTTTGAATGTAAGTGGGAAGAA